AAAACAAACAGACAATCATTTTAAAACGATATTGTATGTAATAATAGTAAATGCTCCCCAGTGGCTCAGTGGTAGCGCTAAAAACCGGATTTCGATACCCATTGTGGAACAACTCAGATAGCCCGTTGTGTAGCTTTGTATTTAAGAAAAAACGAACAAACAAACAAAAAAGTAATAAAAATACATACACACTATAATGTCCTAACACGTAAATCAGAAGGAGCACGTGTCTTTCCCAAGTTTTTCCAGTTAATGTACACATTATTATTAACAAATATGTTAGATTTACTTAGCATTTTTTCCCTGCCCTTCTCACTTTTCAGTAAAGTTAGGCAGTCATGTTCGATATTATGCCATTAAATTGGGAAACTTCATTCTTGTCAATTCTTGTACATTTATTACCAAACAGTGAATCTCGAGTTGCTAACTCTTGCGGTCAACAAATCAAAGTTACTAGCCTTAGGGTAACTCAATATGCTAACCTAACTAACCTTGCTGAACATAGAGGTCAGGAGCTAAAATGTGAGTGTAGGGGCCAAAGTAGACAGTGAATCACACTTGTCAGGAGTACGCCTACCTTCGGCAGACAGGAATTAGGAGTAAGAGTGCATGCTTGCATGGAAAATGAATAGATTTGGTGTGAAAATCTAGGCCTATTCTCAGTTCAGTTTGCTCTAAGATATGACTGAAATCAGAAGAAATCATGAGCGAAATAAATATGAAAATAAGCAGTATAATGACAAACTTATATTACCTATTTTTATCTTAATCTACTTACATTATATTTTTGGCTCTATTTCAGTTACCTACTTAATTTTAGAATTTTTATTCGTTTATAATAAATCACTAATTTATACCAAAAACTAAATTCAGTCTTGGGAAATCGTAAACCTATCGAAATTTATGAGGGACCTGAGTAAGTTCTGGCAATTCCTTGTGTACTGGAGATGAATAACTTGTTCCCCTTTTCTGACGCCTACGCAGAAGGTACAGCCCCCGAATGGCTCAGCGAGAAACCTGGTGGTTTATAACGCTAATAATCATTTCGATGTCCGTGGTGGGCACAATACAGATAACCCACTGTGTAGCTTTGGCTTAACAACAAACAAACAGTAAAAAGACAGTAAATCAGTTATCTGACGAAAAGATGGCTTTGTAAAATCGTCGTTCGGTGTGTTCTGTTTGCATCAAATTTACAAATGGCAGAAGGAATTTCACAGTTCATAATATGAAGAAAAAGGGGTTGACATTTGGGACCGAAAACTGAGCAATAACAACAAATTTATCTCTGTTGGAAAGTTATCTCGTTGGCGTTCGAAACTGTTCTTACTAGAACAGCAGAGTAAATGAAGTTGGCTAAATTTGCCTTTAATACTCGGGAAGGGTCAGGGTTAAGGGAAAGGCTGGTGAAGCGGCAGCTCCTGGTCCCCCCACCCCCCAAAAAAAACCTTCGTCCCCTTCTGCTCCCATGTCATTCAAAAATAGTAGTTTAGACATTGCCCGGCATGGCCAGGTGGTTAAGGTGCT